GGTGAGGGGGGTGGTGAAGAGGGGGCAAGGCGCCGCCTGAAAGTCGCGGGCAGTGCTGCGCCGGATCAATCGCGTCAACCTGCAGGTCTTCCGCACCAAAAGCACGAGTGAGCTTCGCAGCTTGCAGCGTGCCGCGGCGGTGAGTTCCGCTCGCGCGCGCTCACCTGCCATGAGGGGCAGCAGCTGCTTGAGGGCCCCCAGCAGGTGCAGCGCGTCAGCCACCGCGCGCGTGATGGCCTCCTCCGCTGCCGACCGCTGCTTGTTGGTCGCGGCCGCCGCGGCGCGCGCCGCGGCCGCGGGGCCGGGCAGCACCTGGCGGCACACTGCTCGCGTCCAGGGCATGGGGAGGACGCGGGCAGCAGGGACGCTTTGATATGCACCTGCCGCTCTTGTGATGTGCATGTCATGTGAGACTTGCCAATTGACCGACATGCGGCGGCGCCGCCCACTCTCCTGCAACCACCCTGTTGGGCCACCCGGCAGCATGACCCCACCACGCATGACTACCAGCATTAGATAGGCCTCACGTTGCGCGAGCGCCTCGCTCTCCAGGCCCAACAGCTGGGGCGATGTCTGCGCGGCGGCCAGGACCTCGAGGCAGGAGGCCACAGCGCGCCGCCGCACCTTGGGCCGCCCGTCTGTGAGGAAGCCCAGCAGCAGCTGCCATGCAGGCGCCGCGGCAGCCCAGGACCCGGGTTCGGCGGCCGCGAGCACTGTGCCCAGGCACTGAATCGCACCCTTGACCACGGGGGCCTGCACACCATGGCGAATCATAGCAGACGCAAGTGAGGGGATTGCGGCACACAAAACAGAGGGCACACACTGAGTGGTTGATGCGCGCTGCCCCCCAGCGGAGCGGCCGCAGCTGACAAGCCTATTCAACGTCAGAACGACGGGACGCCTCAAACGCCGGTCGAGGTTTGCCGCCTCGCACCTGGTCGCGCGCCGCCTCCACGACTGACGACAGCACTTGCAGTGCAGCAGCTAGCTTGGCGCGCATCACAGAGGTGGGCACGCGGCCCAGCGTCGCCGCGAGCACCGTCAGCATCGCTGCCAGGACCTGGCAAGCGGTGTTGCGGGTACGCACATAGCAGCGTGCGAGGGCGAGTGTGACAGTCAGCGAGCGCAGTGGTTGCGGCGGCTGCATCAGTGGCGGCTGCCCCCAGCGGCAAGACAAAGCGACCATGCTGCGGATAGCTGCCCTTGCTGGAGTGGCAATAAGCAGCACAAGGGAGGCTCATGCTGCTGCTAGTCCCAAGCTGCGCGGCGGCCGAGTGCCCGCCGCCGCCTTCACTGGCCGCGACGGCTCTGCTGCTGACCTGGGGGGACGAGCGCGTGTCCTCCCTCTCAAGAGCGCTCATCACGGCCGCGAACAGGGCTGTAGGCGAGGGTTGCATGCCCTCGGCGGCCACCACGTCGAGGACGGCCTGCAGCACCGCGAGGACCTGCTGCGACTCGGGCTGGGCGGAGTGGCCATGGCGCGCCCTCAGCTCCGCTACAACGCCTGTGCCTTCGGCCTGGCCTAGGGTGAGGTCTGTGAGCAGCCGGTCGATCATGTTGCGCTATTTCACCGGAATCCCATGAGTGCCGGCGCTGCAGAGCGTATGTGGTTGTTATGGACGATCAAACAGGTCTGAGCGTGAGGGCGCTGGCGTGGCATGCCGAACCAGTTCGATCGCCCCGCAATTGTCACTGGAGTCACCACGCGTGTACCTGTCCGTTCCGGGGCTTTGATGGCGGACAATGTCATCTGAAAGGCACCGCGCGCACATACAAACCAGCTCGCGTTGATACAAGGCCTGCACAGCCGTTCGCCACGTTGGCATTCTCCAACCCACTCCCCGACACCATGCAGTGCTCTTCGCGCAGCCTGGGCAGGGTCCCGACGGCTGCAGGGACGCATATGAAGCGCTTCAAGACGGTGCTGACGCGCGTGCAAACTCCTTTGCGCCCGATTTCGCCCGGCACATCGACAGACAGCGCGGGTGCGCACTCGCCTCAGACGGTCTGATTTGCTGGCTCCTCCACCAGCAGGGTGGCAGGACACAGCTTACACCGCAGACCGAGCCCGACCAATCGCGCGCCGTTCGCGCATGGCCTCCGGAAAGGGCACGGCACACGGGCAGTGTCGCCGTGCGCGGTTGCTGACTGTGCGCGAGCGCCACCTCAACCTGCCGCACTGCAATGCACCCCTCTCGCCGCCATCGCCATCGCTGCCGCCCCCAGACAACATCTCCCTGCCCGCGGGTGAGGGCCGCCAGCGCGGCCGCAGCGACGGCGGCCCCGACTACACGGCGCCCTCGCGCAACCTGGCGCTGGAGCTCGTGCGCGTTACAGAGGCCGCCGCGCTCGCGTCCGCAAAGTGGTGCGGCGCGCTGCTGGCTTATTCTGGGGAGGGGGCCGCACAATTCTGGTCCTTGAGGGTGTTAGGAAGCTCCCCGGCGCCGATCTGCGGCCCCTGCGCGCGCTTCTGCTGCCCTCCACTTCGCTGTAGATTTTTGAGGCGGTTGTTTGGTGAAGTGCGGACCGGTGCGGCGCGGTGCGACCTGCGCGCCAGGCCGGCCTCCACTTCCGCCAACACGACGTCCCCCTGATCCCAGGTTTGGCAAGGGCGACAAGGAGGCGGCCGACAAGGCAGCGGTCGATGTGATGAGGCGCGTCCTGGCCGACATCAAGGTGGGCCTGCACGCTACGGGCCTGGGCTGGGGCACCGTGGCCTCCGCTTGCTGCACAGGGCTGATGGCCCCTGGCACGCCCACAGCCTTGCAGGCCGCGCACCCCCGACGCCTCACGCCTTTCATCCCTGCCTCACCTCGCATGCACCCGCGCTGACCCTCCTCGTCACCAACCCCGACCCCTGACCAAACCCGGCCCCGAATCCCCACCCCAACTGCCTCTCAGATGGACGGCGTGGTGGTGATTGGTGAGGGTGAGAAGGACCAGGCCCCCATGCTATACTGCGGTGAGGCCATCGGTGACGGCAGCCCCCCCATGGTGGACATAGCGGTTGACCCACTGGATGGCACCACACTCACGGCGCAGGTGAGAGGGGGGGGGCAACAGGCTCGGTTGGGTTCTGAGGGGCAAGTTTCCATTTGGTGCTGTGGCAAAGGGCTGTGCTGAGGCGATGGCCCCCGACCTGCGCCCACTCCTACCCTGCAAGCGCAGGGCCGCAGCGGCGCCCTGAGCGTGATCGCCCTGGCGGAGCGTGGCGCCATGTTCAACCCCGGCCCCGCTTTCTAGTGAGTGGGAGGGCGGCGGGCCCCTGCCTGGGGCTCATCATGATGACGGGTCCCGTCACAAGCTGTGTAGGTGGTGGGGGGCAGGAGCAGGCTGGAGCCTTGAACGTGCGACAAGGTGATGTGCATCACGCGCTCTTATCTTCAATCAATCAAGAAACGTGCACATGCATCCCTTATCCCACGCACCCCACCTCACCCGTCCCCACCCCACGCCACCCCACCCTCAGCATGGAGAAGCTGGCCGTGGGCCCGGGCGTTGACCCGCGGCGCGTGAGCCTCAAGTACAGCGTGGCCCACAACCTGGAGGCCATAGCCAACTGCCTGGGAAAGCCAGTGGGGTGAGGGGGGGGAGACGGGGGCCTGGCAGGAGGGGGCGGCGCTGCCTTTAGAGGCCGCCAGGGACTTGTGGAAGCCAGCAGAGGGGGGGATTGCGAGGGCATTCGACAAGATTGTGAGTGGAGGGCGGTACAGTGAAAAGGCTACATGAACGGCAGAGGGCGGCACAGGGCAGCGGCTTGAGCTGTCACTGTGAGGGGTTGGCGCTTACTGGGAGTGTGTGTGGGGGTTTGCACAGCAGTGTGCTGCTCACCAGGATTGGTGCAGCGGCTGACAGGGCGCAGGGGTGGTGACATGACCAGGGTTGCGCACCGACCTGCCCCCGGACCCTGGCCAGCAGCGTGCGCATCGCAAACCACAACGCACCCTACCTCCAGCACAACGCCCCCCCTTCCCGCCCCGCATTGTCAAAATCAACACTGCAGTGCCCCTGTTTGCCCAGGCTTTGGGGCCATGAGGCACTCCGTCAACACGCACGCGAGCACCTTTGCAGCTTCAGCCGCAGATCCATCCCTCAACCTCCTCCAAACCAGAAACCAATAAACTCCCCCTCTCCCTCCCCCTCTGACCACAATCACAAAGGGACGTGACTGTGCTGGTGCTGGACCGGCCGCGCCACGCAGACCTGATCCGCCAGATCAGGGAGGCGGGGGCGCGCATACGCATGATCTCGGACGGCGACGTGGGCGGAGCCATTGAGACAGCCAAGCCCGGGGCCCCCGTCGACGTCCTCATGGGTGCGCGGGGGTTGGCGTGTATATGCGTGTTCGCACTTGTTGGTGGTGGCGAGATGGCTCGTGTCGGAGTTTGTTGTGGATTGGGACGAAAAAGGTTGTCGTCTTAGTTGGGTGGCTGAGCAGTGGACCCTGAGCCGCCCTGCCTGGCACCCTAGAGAGTCACCCGCTCAGCACACACACACACTTTCAAAAGAGCTCCACTTCCCCTCTCGACCTTGCCCACGGCCCGCCCAGGCGTGGGCGGCACCCCCGAGGGCGTCATCGCCGCGGCCGCCCTCAAGTGCATGGGCGGCCACATAGAGGGTGAGGGAAGGGGCGCGTGCACAGGGCGCTGCGAGAGTGCCAGCTGGGGGCGGCAGCATTGGCTGGTCGCGGGCAGCTGAACATCAGAGCATGAGGGAGGAGAGGGTGCTAAGTGCGAGCGCTGCGGCAGGGGACTACGCGGCAAGAGGTACTGCTCCAATTGTAACGCCCCCCACTTCTGACTTAGGCGCCACCCACACACCCTTTGAG